TTCATCTTCAGAGATGAGGATGCTCCTTTCCTCCGGGCGTATGGAAGGCCCCTCTCACATGAGGGTTTAATGACCTGCTTCAGGAGAAGGTCAGAAAGTCCTTCCTACACAGGCCATTTCTCAAATTCCTCCGGTTTAAAATATTCAATATAGGAAGTGCCATATTTTGGGATAGCATGTCTTGAACCTCATCAGTCTCCTTTCACAGAGACATTTCATATCATCATTCCCAGATTCAGATGAATACAAATTTTGCTATTTTCTAGCAAAACCAGGAAAGGAAAGTTAGAAGATTAAAATTAGGACTTTTTGTTTATGAGAAAATAAGCCCAAGATTTGCATAATTAGAATATTATTCCAGTATAATTTTCTTACATGGTAGTGAAGTCAGGAAGAAAACACAGGACAGTTTTTAAGCCAAAACTATTAAATCAGTCTAATTTGTCCAGAGTCATTATAATAGAAATAGTTTATGAACTCTTCTAATACAATCTGTAAACCTCTGTATTTATAAACTACATTCTTAAAGACTCTTTAAATTATGTTCAAAGTTCTTGAGTGTTATTTTTTCCTTCTCATCTTATAACCTAGTAACCAAGGCAGTTAGCTTAACTCTAAATTAAAACTTTTTTCCAAAGTTCAATGAAAAGCCATGTAGAATAGGAACATGATCCATTAGAGTTTATAATCTTACTTTTTCCCCCTTTTTGTGTTAGATTTGTTTATCTGGGATATCTGGATATTTCTAATGTGTGCCCATAATAACCAGAATTGGTTTTTGATCTCCTAATAAATTAAGTTTTCCGGAAGAGGGAGAAAGAAATGTAAGGATATAAAAGGAGCTGTTTGCAGTGGGTATGGAAAGAGTTACTGACCACTATAAAAGTCCAATCATCTTCCCTTTGCAAAAAGGGGAAATGTCTTAGATGCAGACAAACCCATTTCAACACATAAAAAGAGAGAGAAAATGAGTCATGACAACTAATCTTAGGCCCTTTAACAATTCCATCAAGACCATAGGATTAAATCTCTGAAGAACAGAAACAAAGAGGGAGGCTTCTTAATAAACTAAGTGATTTCTCTTTTAGATAAATAAAACAGAAAACCACCTCATGATGGTTCAACAAAAGAACTGAATTTTTTTTACATTTGTATTTAAATTTCATTTTGAAGCTTTGCATAACAATAAAATGCTAATCATTGAATATTCAGAATTGTATTCCCCTTTTGCTCTAAAAGTGTTTTCAAATGAGTTATTGTGGTCGTGTCAGAAGCACTCCAACTGACTACTCCAATTCATAGGGTCCTTGATGAAATTATGCTTTTTAGAAAGATAAATGCAAGAAAGATAAAACAGAAGCTGGAGTTATGCCAGGAGTTAGCACAAGTTTATTATTAGATGAATCCATGAATTAATTAGCTAAAGGTGAATCAAAAAGGGAAGATATCACTTAGACATTATGTCTAAAGTCCTTAACACTAAGTGTGAACCCGTGACAGCTGACACTTAAAATCAGCAGGCCAGATCTGTTCCAAAGCCAATTTCTCAAACGTAAGTAAACTAAGAAACATTCTTAGAGAGACACAACAATGTAGCCAGCTGACAAACAAGATGGTTAGTATCAAATCTGTGCTTTAGCACACCTTCACCCAGGAAAACAGAAATTAGTATAAATTCGGTCAGATAACCAAAAAATCCTGGGAACCTTATTCTTAGAGCAAACAAAGTAAATATCAGCTAGCTTTGGGAGCTCAACAAAAGAGGATCAGAGCTTAACATAAAGTGCTGGACTTACGATCATAGACAAAGAATCCTCCAAGCAAAGAGGCTTAAGAGACCTGAGTAAAGTGCGGTGTAACCAGTGTGAGAATACCGATGGCAAGGGGTCTTACCTAAGACTTGGTAGGACCTCCAGGAGTATCAAAGGTCTAATACAAAGACCACCAGGGGAACCTGTAGATCATACAAAGCTGGATATATTAAAGTTTCTGAGCAAGGGAGAGCTTCACCTGGACAGAGTCTCGTTAGTGTCTCAAAACAGGGAAATTACAGAAGGATACTTACAGGATTTTGAGGACTGGGTTAGGTCATGGGGTGGTTTTAAGGTAGAAGTTAGTAAGTAAGGTCTAGGCAGAGACTGGTCAGATTTTGTAAAATAGGTGAGTTGCTGAAACAGTAAGTCCTAACTTTGGAGCACAAATTACCATAGACTCAGTTTGTTCCTGCTCTTATCTTGGAGCCTACAGGTCTGAATTAGCTTCTGTTAAGACAATTTGATATGATTTTTAAGATAGTTTGAGTTACTTGTCATGGTTTGGTACAGTTTATCTGTTATGTAAATAACTGTACAGTTTTGCAAGTTGATGTTTCTGTTTTATTTCTCAGAAGGAAAGAGTTTGTAAGCAAGAGACAATTATAAGGCTTTTGCAGAAATTCAGACATATTAAATGCCTGAAATTGAGGGAGAGGGTGATAAGAGAGTAAATGAAAATGTAAACTCAAGGAGGAGATGGAATAAGATGTTGTTAACGATTGAGACCTTCGGAAAGATGGTGGACTACAAAGGAAAAAAAAAGAATCAGAGGTTAAATCTTTGAAAGCTGGGAAGATAGTGGCACCATTGACAATAACGGAAACAGGAAATTGAAATTTAATATGTGATAGGAAAGTAACAAGGTATGGAAATAATGGGTTATGTTTTGTTTTACTTTGTTTTTTTTTTAATTTGCATTTTAACTGTAATAAGTTTCAGGCGTCATTCCAGAGATGACCAGAAATATACCAAAAAATGATTCAGTTTTAAAGGGGAATATTGTGAATTTATCCTATTGTGTTCAGCCTTATAATCTTCTATTCAATTCTGTATGTTTTCTTTGAGCATACTTAAAATGCACTGTAAATCCCACACCCTCATTTAACTATTACTTCACTATGTCAATTACAGACAAATAACTCATTCTCCAATGATCTCTAATTCTGTTATTTCTAGAACTGTTTGCAGCAAAATAACAGGAAGGAACATGAATGGAAAAGAAAACATCCTAATAATGGGGGAATCTTACTTAGTTGGTGGTCAGTGTTCTTTTGTAAAAACAAAAGTATATAACCACATTTTTCTTTCTGAAGCAAATTGTCTGATTAATGGAGTTAAAGAGCTGCAAGGTTTGGCCTTTATAAAATGTATAACTTCAATAACCGTGTGTTAATTAAGATTAGAAAATTAATCTATATTAGCACCGCAATAGCAATTTTCCAAGCTCTCCCAGTGACTAAGGATGGAAGTGGGTTGCAATGTCACATGGCATCTGATTACGTTAAATTAATGCACTATTTGACGGGAAGACTCCCAGGTGACACTGAATAAGACAATCAGAGTTTTTCTCCAGCTGTTGTAAGGGAACAGTTGATTGCAAAGCTACTCCTTTTCCAACATAAAGCCAAGCGTTTAGCCATATGATCTCACTAATGAGTCAGAAGGAAGATTGACGGGGTTACAGGTTACTGTTTGGTAGAACTGAGATATGAAGCCCTAGGTATTAGCCATATTGGTAGTCTAAGCATCTGAAATGTGCAGGCTTGCCTTCAGCCTCCTAAAATAATGTCCTGGATTTTCTCACTTCAAAGATGTATTTTTTTTTTCATTTCATAATATTTCTGAAATCAAAATTCATCTTAGGGGCCGGCCTGGTGGCACAGCAGTTAAGTACACACGTTCCACTTCGCCACTTCAGATCCCTGATGCAGACATGGCACCGCTTGGCACACCATACTGTGGTAGATGTCCCACATTTTAAAAAGTGGAGGAAGATGGGCATGGATGTTAGCTCAGGGCCAGTCTTCCTCAGCAAAAAGAGGAGGATTGCCAGCAGTTAGCTCAGGGCTAATCTTCCTCAAAAAAAAAAAAATCTTAAAATTGATGTGTAAATTAAAGTTGTATGTTGTATGTGTCTGTGTGTGTTAAGGACCCCCTACTCCTAAGTATTTTATAACTTAATAAATCTAAATCTGTGTTCACATTATAAACTAATTCCATCTATACTAGCTTCTAGGAGTAACAACATGAGAACAACGAGGGGGAAAATAGGTACCCTTTCAGTATCATATATTATAAAAAAAAGAAAATCACATTTATTGTATGTTTATCTATATTAACCAAGTTCTCATTATCTCAACCCTAAAACTACTTTTCAAGGTAATTATTATTACTGTATGTTATGAACGAGAAAATTAAGGTATAACGTGTTTGGGCAACTTGAATTTGAAACTTGTCTGAATCCCAAGCTCTTGCTATTATGCCACACTGTCTCATTGGAACATCCTAACATGAAATAAGCTTCTTATATTTTCTTCATAGACATATAATAGTAGATACTAAATCTCTACAGGGTAATTCAATTCAGAGTCATGGAATTGTGGGTATGTGTGGTTAAGTGTTACTTGTTTTAGTTCGCTAGTAGAAACAACTATCTCCCTCTCCTTCAGAGAAGTTTAACTTCTTTGGTACTTTTGATCCCACTTCAGAAAAGAGATCAAAAATCTTGAAGGAAAAGATAAATGATGGTTCTCTTCAGATTTGAGAATATCATGTCACCCAATCTCTACCTCAGATGTTCTCAGTGAAAGACAAATTGGGAAATAATATTGGGAGGAAAAAAGAAAGTTGTTTCATTTAGTTTACCCCAGTAAGCAACCACTGGGAAGGCCAGTATCTCCAGAGCACCATTGTCAAATTGTAGCCACAGCTGGTGTGATATTTGGCCTGCTTTTGGTCACCTTTTAAATTTCTACAAGTCTTTTAATTCTGGAGGAATGTTTTCTCATCCTTTGCTACTATCAATAGTTATACGAAGATCCTTTGAGCTATATCTTCTACATGCCAGGTACTGTTGTAGGTGCTAGATATGCTAAACTCTGTTCACTAGGTCTTTTTTTTTTTCCATTAACAATAGGCAACATTATACTAAGAGAATAATTTGTGGTGGTTTTTCTGGCTTTGTAGCTGCTAAATCCTGAAGATGACCTCTTACCAGGAAAGATTCGAGACAGCAATCGTTCAACCCTCTTAGCAACAATTCAGGAACATGGTTACCCCACAATCAACTTGGGAATTGTGGGAGACAAGTAAGTACTGGATTTTATTTTGAAGTTGTTATTATACAAATATGAATTTTGGGAGTAATAACTAGGTAGGATTGTTGCTAAAGAGACAGAAATTTAACACCGTAATTTTCACATATCTCATTCTTCAGAAGCCAAAGAATTATGGAGATGTCTATGTCTTTTAGGGGTAGACATTTTCCTGGAATGCCTACTACAATAGGAGAAATACTTTGCTCTCCTATGAGTATGTTAAGCTTACAGGGATCTTTTTTGATAGTGTTGGCTTTATCCTAGTGGAACTGATGGTGATGGTATTATACTACTTGTTTCAAGAAAGTCAGGGAGGTTGGCTGGCCCTGTGGCCGAGTGGTTAAGTTCGCGCACTCTGCTTCAGCAGCCCAGGGTTTCACCGGTTCCAATGCTGGGGGCAGACATGGCACTGCTCATCAAGCCATGCTCAGGCAGCATCCCACATGCCACAACCAGAAGGACCCACAACTAAAAATATACAACTATGTACCAGGGGGAGGGGACCTTTTGGGAGAAAAAAGAAAAATAAAATCTTTAAAAAAAAAAATGACAGGGAAATCATGGGTGAGGAGAGTAAGAGAGAATGTCAAAATTAACACTATCTGATTCTTTGAAGTGTAAGTACACTTGTTTTCTAGGACTTCTATATTGATTTTTGTATCCTTATATAACCTGAGTTTCTCCAGACTTCACCCACTTACAAGTGGAGGCACATTGACTATAATTGCCCATCTCTAAGAGTATATTAGACCATTTACGAAATTAACTCAGCCCTCTGCTAAATTCCCCAACTATTTCTGTGGCTCCCCACCTGTGTCTCACATGTGATCAAAAGCAAGTGTGCTTTTTCTGAGCATCCCACTACCATGCAACACTGCTGCTTGGCCATCTTTCTCCTGGCACTGTTTCCAGTTTACCAGAGGCGTGCTTGCTTTTATAAATACTCAAACATCAGCCTTGTGGAGACAAATCTGAGTGACAGATACCGTGATATATCTGTCACCCATAATCACCGCTTTCTCTATTACCACCACCTTGTCACTGAGTAAAGTTCATTATGCCTGGTTCCTTCTTCCCTTAAGATCAGTGCTTTCCCAAGACCCAAACGTGCTTTTGAAGAGATTCTGCAGTACCATTTCACAAGGTATGCTCTAACACCTATAAACCCCAGCTTGGGCTCAAACTAGACACAACACGATCCAAACCTTGGACGTAGAATCTTGCCAGTAACCTGAAAGATAGTAGCTTTTGCATCATCTGTTTTAAAGTTTTCTTCTTTCCTCCTGATTTTTTTCTTTCTCTGAGGACATTGGAGTAGAGGCTGTTAGACATATTTTCAAGCATCATTCTTTGTAAAATCTTCACCATTTGTATTTACCTGGATATTTAGTTTTAGAGAAGTCCATAGCTAAGTAATCAGCCAACTTAGAACCTGTGCTGGTAAAGCCAGTGTCACAGGTTACCTAATATCACCCTGACCTAGGCTCCACCCCTGGGAAGGGAGTAGAAAGAACCCACTGAAAAAAAACCAAGGGGTGGTTTTTTGAATTTGCACCTGACCAGTAACCTATCCTTTCTTATAAAGAAGCACCTAAAAATTATCCTGATGCAGATGCACCTTTAACGCAGACAAAAATTGAGGCTGGCCCCGTGGCCAAGTGGTTAAGTTCAAGCGCTTTGCTTTGGCAGCCCAGGGTTTCGCCGGTTCAGATCCTGGGCACACACATGGCACCACTCATCAGGCCATGCTGAGGCGGCGTCCCACGTGCCACAACTAGAAGGGCCCAAAACTAAAAATATACAACTAGGTGCTGGGGGTATTTGGGGAGAAAAAGCAGAAAAAAAGAGAAACAAAAATTAACTTCTGAGATAGGATGAATCCAGGAGTTCTAAAAGCATAGAGCAGGCCTGAAACTCTAGGGAACAAACTCACCAAGTTGTTTAGAACTTGTTTCCTACCCACCACTGGCTCTGGCCCTGCCTCCAAGTTGTTAATGAGCTCTAAGAAATATTTTAAGGTAAAAGCTTTCTTTTTTTTGTTTTTTTGTCATTTTTTTACCCTGAGCTGTTCCAGACTACAATTCTGTGCATTCTCTCCTATTGTTGTACTTTTGTATACATAAAAAGGTTACTTGATATACTATAGACGTTGCCATTACCTAACTATAAAGGCCAAAACACCATTGAAAGGCTTATGTGTTGACATGCTAATATTTGATTTCTAGGGCCCACACTACTGATTTTGTGGTAGACATTTCCTAATAATTAATGTTGATATTACATGTAACTCCAAAATATACCTTGAAGACAGCATATAAAGAGCAACAAAATTATAAGCATGATATTGGAAGTTCTGAGAATATACAGATGTCTAGTGTATATCCTTTTCTTGGATAAAAATACCTCACATAAAATGAGAACAATGTTTTAAAAATACGGTTGATGCAAATCTAGACTTTCTCAGTCTTAGAGTGCTATTGAAGAGGCCCAGAGGAAGTGGTTTAGAATGCAGAGGTAGAATGTGGGAGGAAAGGATTTATAACTGTTCTGATGGAAATCTGGGCTGGGAGTTTAGTAAAGGAAACAGGTACATTTAATCTGCAGCCTGTTGATATTCTGTCAGTGTTGCCTCCCTCTTCATTCTTCTCTTTCCTGTGTAGCTCTTTGCTAATGAAAGCAAATTGTTGTCATACAGAAGCCTCTATGTGAGACTCTCCAGGGAAACAGGCAGGGTCATGGGAGAAACTACCCTGTGTTTAAAGCAAGGAGAGAAATAGCTCAAGAATGTCAGGGAGCACAGAGCCCTTACTCAGCTATGAGAGATAACAGTAGGGAGTAAGAGCTCTATTCTTGCGTTTAAAAAAAGGTTCAATGGGGCTGGTCTGGTGGCGCAGCAGTTAAGTGCACATATTCCGCTTCAGCAGCCCGCGGTTCGCCGGTTCTGATCCCAGGTGCAGACGTGGCACTGCTTGTCAAGCCATGCTTGGTAGACATCCCACATATAAAGTAGAGGAAGATGGACACGGATGTTAGCTTAGGGCCAGTCTTCCTCAGAAAAAAAGAGGAGGATTGGCAGCAGTTAGCTCAGGGCTAATCTTCCTAAAAAAAAAAAAAAGGTTCAAGTCTGGTTTTTAAATTCTGTATGATTCTACTTCTCAGTTCTCATTCTTCTCACTTACCATAATTTTAACAATACTAAAATTGAAGAGTAAGACTTTGTAACTTATTTGGATTAAATTGTGGTGAATTTTTGCCTTTGCTTATTGTAACTTTTACTTAAAAAGAGGGTACAATGAAGATTATGGGAGGGTTTCTTCAATACCTGAGAGTTAACAACTATATTTTAAAACCATTCATTTATAAATGTTATGTGTATATTAAAATACATCCCCTAAGACATATTTTCTTACATTGCGTGGAACACAGTACTGTTGGGTTTCCTAGTGTTTTTCTTTAAAAGGACAAATTTTGAAACCCAGAGATGTTAACTGGCCTTGCCCAGCATTATGCAAGTTTGTGGCAGAGGTGGAAATGGAATCTTGAAATTTCTTGATTTCTTGAATCAAGATAGGTTTGATAGGTTTCTTGAAATTTGCAGTCCACAGTTCTCTGCTATCATTATGAAGATAAGCTTTACCAAGACAGAAGAGAAGCATCACTATGGGCTGGGGTGGTCAGAGAGAGTTTTATAAAACTCATTTAGCTAGAACATGAAGGATGAATAGGATTTGTATGGTTAGAAAAAGAGAGTGTGTTAATCAAGTAGGAAACATGGAATGAAAAAATAGGGGAGTAGAGAAGTAGAAATGAACAGACACTCAGGTCAGGCCAAACTGATTAGAATAAGAGGTTCAGGTAGAAGGATAATTCAGGTAAATTTGGTAGAAATTTGAGGCCAGATTTTGAAAGGCTTTGCAATCCAGGCAGAACTACCCAATTCAGTTAAATTTGAAGCTTTTTTTTTTTTTAACGAGAATTCACTTAATAAACCATTATTTTAGAAAGGTAATTTGACCAAGGTGTATCACATGAGCTAAATTTGGAGACAGACTAGCAATAAGAAGAACAATACAATTTGTTTATTCATTGTTCAGTCAGTCAGGAGGTGTTGATTGTGTACCTAAGTAAATCACCTATAGATCATATTAAAAAGACTGATTCTGATTCAGCAAATCTGGAGTAGGCCAAGATTTTGCATTTCTGACAAGCTCCCAAGGATACCAAGCTGCTGGTCCATGGGCCACAGGAAGTAACAAGGATATAGTAAATTTAGTCATGCATCTACTATGAATTTTAAGCCAAAGGCTATTGAAGATGCAAAGCTGAAACAAACATAGATCTTGCCCTTGAAATTACATGTACTAGAAATACAACCCAGTAATAAAAATAATGTTTCAGAAAGTTCCAGAGCTTAAACTCAGACTTGGAAGTAGAATTAAAAAGAAAGAGATTAATTCAAAAAGACATTGTGAAGCCCATTAAATAGAACAGAAGAGTGTCACTGTTGATTTATCTTCGTCTGGATTACAAAGCCTCATCGAAATGGTATGTGTCTCGAAACACAAATAAAATGTCTCCAAAACCCAGCTGTTAGGTCTCTCTTATCACAATTATACATCCCTCTCTAGCAATACACCATTTCCGCTTCTTCATGCTCCATTTGTAGTTTATGCTTTCTTGGTTTTTTTTAGCTCCTCTTTATGTGCTCATTCCCTAAATGTAGGTGTCCCCATGGCTCACCCTTGGCTTTCTGTCCTTCTAATTTCTTATGCTAATGACTCCCAAATGTTATCTCTGTTTGAGCCCATGCCTAAATCCACCTGCTTACTAGGTGCATCTTCTTTAAGTTCAATAGTCACTGCAAACTCAACGTATCCAAAACTAAATTCGTCATCCCCCAACCTCTCTCAGTGCCCCTCCCCACTGCCTTCTTGTTCTGTTTCCTTTAATTCTTCTGTCTCAGTGACTGCCACCGCCATCCACCCAGTCAC